CCCCCGCCCCCACGCCAACGTCTATCACAAGGCATCTAACATTTTATACAATGGTGTAGCGGCGACTCTCCCTTTGGCCGCCCTCTGTGTGCAGACCGCGCCTGATGACGCTCAATGTCTTCCATTTAAACCCATTAAAATGATGATATCTCGAGGACGCAAGACATGGAGAAGACTGCACAATATCACTTCGCTCCCGTGTTATTATTTAACAAATACCTTATTACATTGTTTATATTAATATAACCATTGATGAAAAACTAAACACAACTATTCTATTAACTGATCTAATGTCACTCAAACAAACAAATTAATTACATTATTATTAAATAATACAAATTTTAAATATAATAAAATGTCCAGTCGCTGTTCAAGTTAAAATAAACGCACGACATTGTGAAATATTACTTTAAATTAGATATCATTTAAATTTCCATTTGATTTTTACAAACAGTTTTTGATGATTTTAATAATTTTAATTATATTGATTGTGTCACATAAATCTAAAGCAGTAGCAATATATCAGTGGATATTTAGCGGAATGAATACAAGAAACATTTTGAGAGACAACAAACCTGACCTCCTCCGCTACGATACTCTGTTACTATACTCAATGAATATTTACAAAACAATCCATTTCAAAATCTGATGAAAATTTAAAATAAGTTAATTTATAATTCAATTCATACAATTTAATAATCCTTGAAAATATAAGAAAATAATGATATAAATGAGCAAATGTTCCGCCGCTCCACCTGGCGACCTTCTATATATATATATATATCATCACAATGTCAATAATAAAGAAGAGTAAGATAACAGAATGGACAGAGAAGTATCACAAGAGAACGGAAATTAAGAAAATAAAAAGTATTTGATGCAATTGATTATTACTAAATGTAAGGCATTTCATAACAAGAATTTATTCCATCCTGACTTTAACTAATTTCATGATGAATTGATGTGTCGCCAAGCGCCGCGGGGTGTCGCCGGGCCCCGCGGGGTGCCGCCGGGCCCCGCGGTGTGTCGCCGGGCCCCGCGGGGTGTCGCCGGGCCCCGCGGGGTGCCGCCGGGCCCCGCGGTGTGTCGCCGGGCGCCGCCGGGCCCCGCGGGGTGTTCTAGCGGGACACATCCTCTGCCGGCTGTGCGGGATCGTAGTATCCCTGCATAGAACAAGTTTATTATCGAGTATTTACATATCGTGCAATTGTTGTTTGTTATGATTGTGCTGCAGGAGAAGTGTCAAGTTGTGGGACGTGCAGCTGTGTGCTTGTACGTTACCTGCTAGTGGCCGTTGGGCACGACCTCCCCCTCTCCCTCCCCCTCCCCCTCCTGCCGCCGCACGCAAACAAACACATCCACAATATGTTAATGTCATGTTATTGTTACGTTACACTAACATTGCTCTGAACCGGAGCGGTGGCAGAATCGACAAGGCCGGAGATCTGCTGTATACTAACCAAACCATTTGCGATCTATCAATCACAAATTTCTAGTAGTAGTAAACTATTATATTTTATGAAAAGGGAAATCAAAATTAACAACGATTGTAAGTGAATGTAGTACCTGTGCGGCGATGGGTGCGGGCACGAAGTATGTGGGCGGGGCCAGGGCGGCGGGGGGCGGGGCGCCGAGCACCTCCGCGGCGGGGGGCAGGGGCCGGGTGGCCGCGCCGCTCGGGTTGAACACGTCCACGTACGACTTCTTTATGTCTGTGATCTCGTGCAAATGTCAATATACTGCTCTGCGTTCCACAACAAACAAACAAACAAACAATGTAATCGATACTCACGTCTTCCTTTCTGCATTTTAAAGATGTTGGCGACGGGCGGCGCGCCTCCGCCCTGGGCACCGCTCGGCGCGCCCGACCTGCACGCATATCAAATAATCAAAATACAGTTTTATTCATTTAAATGATTTATTAAGGCAAGTTACTGACTGCGGTGCTGACTGTGCGGGCGGGGCGGAGCGTGCAGGGGGCGGCGGCGGGGGGCGGGGCGTGTCGTCTCCGTCCTGGTCCAGGTTGCGCCAGCGCTTGTGCTCCGCGTCCCACACGATCTGCGACACTCACACATTGTATACTCAATGCACAAAGCCACATCGCGACATCAAACAATTCTCATAAATACTGCAATACTCATGTGCCTGAAGCTGAGCTGGGCTGAGCTGGGCTGAGCCGTGCTGCGTGCGCTGTGTCCTGTGTGCCTCCTCCACTGGGACATTCACACGCCACGCGACTCTCATACATTACGGTACGCTTCATTCATGTCACTTATATTTGTATGTAATATGAAAAAATAAAAGACGAACAGAGCTAACATCTTTTATTGTAAGAAAACGAAAGAAAACAACATAACACAAACACAAACATTATAAGCAAAAATAAATTAAAATAAATATAATAATTAATAAATAAAAACGTATTATAAATTATGATTAACAAATAGATATATAATACTCGTATAAATACATAAATATAACAAAGTATTGAAGTAACAAATAGAGAAAAAGGGAAATAAGTACTCGGTCGATGAACTTGTTTAACAATAAAGTACGTGCTCTATAGCAGTGTGGGTGCGGGGCGTGTGGGGCGTGCGGGGCGTGCGGGGCGTGTGGGGAGCGCGGGGCGCGGGGTGCGACTCACCGTGGGGTTGCTGTCGTCGGGCAGGATCATCTGGTTGGGCGGGCGCAGCGAGAGCTTGGTGAGGATGCCGCCCAGCCAGCCGCCCTTTCCCTTGCCCTTGCCCTCCGCCTTGCCGCCCTCCTCCTTGCCCTTGCCCTCCTGCTCGCCGGACTGCGCGCCGCCCTCGCGCTGCGCCTGCGCCTGCGAACGTTCAACGTGCATATTGTGCGATGACAACCAGCGGGCGGTGCCGCTCTCCTGTGTACCGATTCGACCGCGGATTGCATTGCACAAGTCGCATTTCATTGGAGGAAAAATGCCGCATGTAATTTTCTAAAGGATTTTATTACCTCTCCTTGTTATTCCTACACTATCTCATCGTAATACTTTCTGTTGTTTCGGATGTTGACGAGCAAGCACCGACGAGAAGCTCGGCGGTGCTGCAATCCGTACGAGGCGCAGGGAGATACTGTGTAGTATATTTACCGCGGCGTCGGCTGCGGGCGGGGCGTCCTCGTCGTAGTGGGCGTAAGGGGCGGGGCGCGAGGGGGCGGCTCCCGGCATCGTGATGGTGGGGCGGGGCTCCCCCTCGCCCGCCTCGTCCCCCGCACTCGCCGCATTCTGCAATACGACAACACTAAATTACAAATGGTGAACCCGGGACATATTGGTAGAAAATAAAATAACATAAATCCAACGGAAGAAGTTTTATGTTTAAGGATGCGAATACTATTTATCTAAATATGCGTAATTTAAAATATTTAATAATGAATTAATATTTGCCGAGTGATCGTCCATCATGTCAACAAATAATATTACAATATGTTTATTTAAGCCATTCTAATGTTCTGACGGAATACTAAATAAAACAACATTTCAATAGAAGGTTTTATATTGACAACATGTAAGGTTATCAGAGCACACGATGTAATGTGTTCATATCGCAACACAACACAACACAACACAACACAACACAATTGTATATTCATAAAAACCAAATACATCTTTCAAAGAATAAATATTAAGTGTAAAAGTTATTAATAAATAAAAACAAGCGCTCATGAGTTTTGTCAAACAAAAGCTTCAATCTAACAGTTCGTAACAACACTTTGTGCATCGGACAATTGTTTACTTCCATCGGATTGGAATCAATAGAACTTCACAAACACAATTTACAAAATAAACCTTAACAATTTAGTCGCTAGAAATAAATAAATATGTTACATCAGATAATTATAATTTATCACAGTGAAATATTTATGTTAGAACATGATTTTGGGTAAAAGCAACACAATTGTGTAGTGCGGCCACTTAGCGCACGACACACGGAGACACGACCGCGCTGAACCTACCACTCTACACTCTACCACTCTACATTTTACAACATAGAGGATAGTTTAAGACAAATTTAGCTAAATTTTTAAAATTAAAATGAATAAAAATAGAAATGTGGATGTGCACAATTTGCTGTGCTCTGTGCTCGTCTGCAGCAAATGTAGATGCAGTGGGAGCAGGCTTTGTATGCAGGAGAGATGCGATCTTGTTACATGTTGTACCACTACATACATACATACATACATACATACATACATACATACATATTTAACATTTACTTAAATACAATCAGTGTTTGAATTTTTTTAAGATTTGTACGGCAACATCACAAAAATAATATTCTTGAACTTCATAAAACTGTAACCGGCGAATGAATATAAAGAAAAATAAAAATTTATTTTACTATGAATTTGGTATTAAAACTCACTTCGCTGGAGAACTTGTTCTGAACAGAACAAATAATAGTAATAAAAAGATGCAAACAAGAGTAACATAATAAAGCGCAAAAAATAAACAGGCGCGCTATATGAAGGAGGTCGGTTCATCGATGTCGTATGTGCTGGGGCCGGCCACGTAGTAGTGGGCGTGGTCTCTGGGCGCGGCCGGCCCCGCCCCCGCCTCCCACAGCTCCACCGGCTCGTCGATGTCGAAGGTGCGCACGGGGCCGCGCGCCGCCCGCCGCCGCCGCCCCTCGCGCTGCGCCAGCATCGCCTCGAAGCGCTCCAGACTGCGCTCCACCGTGGCCCGCAGCTCGCGCCGCCGCTCCGCCTCGCCCGCCCCCACGCCCTCCTCCCCCAGAATAGCGACGCGATCCTCCTTGTACATCGGCGTGGCCGGCTCGTCTATGGGATACGTGCCGCCGAAAACGAGAGGCTTGAAAGCTCCATCCATGGCGGTGCGCGACCAGGCGTCCACCGTGCCCGTGATGAGGGTCCCGCAGCGCGGCGGGCGGCGCAGCGCACGTACCGGCGGCGGCGCATCACCCAAGTGGTGGGCATGAGCCACCTGGATGTCTAGGTCGGATAGCTTCGGTCGCGTCGCAGGTGCGGGCGAGGGCGTGGCCGGGGGCGTGGGTTCGTGAGGCGCGGGGTCCGGCGGGCGGGGGGCCCTGCGGTGCCGCAGACCGGCGGCGGCGTGCTGCCCCACCACAACACGCGTTAGCACCACGCAAAGCACATTCGCGCCGACTAGTTTACGAGAGACGCGGTGGTGATCGCGAAATATGTATCCGGTGTCGAGTTAAGTTTCGAGGTCGCGTTCGCTCGCCTTTTTGATATGCCGTTACAAAATACTTAATTATATATTCATCCCACCACCGAGTATTCACATCTACCATTGAAGATAGGAAGATTTTGCCACGCTATAAATGTAGGACAATATAACTTATTTTTATATATTTCTCGCCACTCAAAGTTAACAAGCATTTTTTCATTTCCTGATGAGATTTCCAAAGCGAATGGCTCACAAGCTTTACTTGTAGCGCATGTAAACACACTGCAGCAGTAAATGAAACAAAGCAAACTCACGTCTCCGTATCCGTAGTGTTGGTCGGCGTGCCAGTAGGGGTCGGCGTAGGAGGGCGCCGGGTCGTCGGTGCGGCCCCACTCCTCGCCGTACGTGTCGGGGGCGGGGGCGGGGCCGGGGGCGGGGGCGGCGGGCGCAGGGGGTGCGTGCTCGGCGAGCGGCGGGTCGAGGTGGGCGTAGAGGAGGTCGTGGGGGGCGGGCTGGGGGCCGGGTTGGGGGGCGGGTGGCTGGTAGTAGTGCGCCGCGTGCTCCGCGCCGTCCGCTTCGGGGTAGGCCGGAGCGCTCTGTTCGTATTGGATCGTCTGCAAGGTCGTATTTGTTTTACAAAGCTCACAAATTGTTAAAATGGTAACCCCCGATCCATATGATATCTGATCAGTACCTGATCTCGGTAGGCCGGCTGGTGTTGCGGCGTGCTGTGCTGCCAGGCCTCCGCCTGCAAATTGTTCATCATCGCTATTTTACAACTTTAACAACGGTCAAAAGTATATATACATTGTAAAGTTTGAATCGAAGCGTGTTTCGACTAATTCTTTATAAAACCGGCAAGTATTTGTATCGATGTGGCTGCAGTTACCTCGAGCGCGCTGGCGATGTTGGCGAGGTCGTCGATCCACTGGTGGTGGCGCGGCGAGGGCTCGGCGCTGTCGGCCTCTGCGGACTCCTCCACGAGCGGCGGGTCCTCGTGCAGCGCGGGCTCGTAGTACTTCAACCTGCGCACACAAGATGCTGGGGGTGAGCACCGCGCCCCCTCCCGGCAGGTACCTGCCAGTGGGGGTGGGGGTGGGGGTGTACCTGTCGGCGAGGCGGGCGAGGGCGGCGGGCAGCGCGGGGGGGTAGCGGCGCGGCGCACGGGTCACGGCCCGCGCGGCGCTCTCGGCGTAGCCCAGCGCGCGCTCGCACAGTCCCGCGTCCGCCAGCCGGCACGCCGCCACCAGCTTGTACACCTGCAACACGGTACCGTATCTCACTATTCCCAAGTCGCGAGCTACGTTCCTTAATCGCGCGGTTCAATATTTTGAACGAGCTGTGTGATCGCGACCGCAGACCTGGAAGTCCTCGATGATGTAGTCCTCGTGGCTGAGCGAGAGCGCGTACTCGTAGATCTCCGTGGCGAAGATGGCCATGTCGGTGGCGAGGTGCGGCAGCGAGGCGGCGCGCGGGTCGGCCAGCAGCAGGCTGAGGCGCGGGGGCGTGGCCGGGGGCGCGCCGGGGGCGGGGCGGGGACGCAGCGGGGCCAGCGGGTGCGGCGCGAAGGGCACGCCCCCCGACAGGTAGCAGAACTGCGCGCTGAAGACCAGCCCGCGGGACGCCAGGCTGTCACCTGGTGACGACTCTTCATGTTAAGTATGTAACACGTTAACGATTTTGTGTGTGTATTCGAGATGGAGGAGCGCTCACCGAGCTGCGTGAGGGCGCGGCGCTCGAGGTCGGGCCGCGCGCCGCTGTTGGCCAACAGGATGGCGGCGTGCGGCCGCCAGTCGCCCCAGCGCTCCTCCGCCGCGCACTGTCGCAGGGCACAAGTGTTGCATGTAAGACATTATATTCGTTTGTATTCAGGTTCAGAGTGAGGTGTAGTGAGGGTAGGGGAGTAGTTACGGTGGCGGCGGGCGGCATGCGCGCGGCGAGCGCGGCGTAGAGCGTGTGCAGGGGGTCGGCGGCGGGCACGGCGGCCAGGAAGCGCGCCGCGACGGCCGCGCGCGTGCGCCGCTCCCCGTGCGCCGCCAGCTGCAGCGCGTGCCCCCACAGCCCGCACCGCATCGCCCACTCTGCACACACACGGCGCACCTCACACGCTGTCACGCGCATTCAATATACCATCTCCGCCGGCTCCGTCTCTCTGTGAGCTCTCAGCTCTCACCGAGCGCCTCCTGCCTGTTGCCGTATATGAGGTAGTCGCGCAGGCGGGCCAGCGCCTCCGCCTCCGTCGCGGCCGCCCTCTCCGCGCCCTCGCCCTCCGCGCCCTCCTCGCCCTCCGCGCCCTCCTCGCCCGCAGACGCTGCAACGTCTGCAACATGCATGTTTACATCTAAAATGGTTGTTTCACTGTTCACTGGAGAAGATTTGTTCTCTGTCATTACAATGCTGTTTTTGTGCGTCGGGGAAAGTGTAAAATTGTATTTTGTGTTAGTATAATATATTTAAAAGATGCAGTATGTAGTTACGTGCGAGCGGTAGATCGGGCCGGGCGTTACTCTCGGGCGAGACGACGCGCTCCCCCTCGGCCCCGGAGCCGGCGCGGCTGCCTGCAACGAGAGGAGCCGGTGAGCGGCGCGGAGGGAGGGAGGTCCGGCGGCGGTGGAGGGAGGGGCGAGACCGACCTATGCGCGGGGAGGGCGCGTGCGCGTACTCGTGCTCGCGCGCGTTGTTCATGAGCAGCTCCGCGATGTCGGTGCCCACCACCACGCCGTTCTGGCGCAGCAGCAGCGCCAGCAGCTCCCACACCAGCAGCCGGCCGAGCGGGTCCGCGGCACCCCCCGCGCCCCCGCCGGCCGCCGCCTCCGCCGCGCGCGACGAGCAGTACTCGATCACGCTCTTCTTGTGAGTGACGCCTGCGCGGTGAATACATCACGAGTACGATTACATTAGAAATGTTTGAAATGCGATCGATAACAAGGAATGCGTTTCGGTAGATAGAGACGACCTCTGAGGAGCGGGCCGGGGTAGGCGAGCAGGTGGGCGCGGGCGGGCAGGCGCGCGGTGGCGGCGGCCAGCGGGAGCAGCTGCACGGTGGCGGGGCGCCCGTCCGCCGGGTACGCGGCGCGCACCACCACCACGTGCCGCGCCGACAGCGTGCCCTGCACCACACCACATCCACCACATTACTCTCCCCCCTCGAGCCGCGTCACGTCACGCTCGCTCGCAGCGGACGGTTACCTTCACGTGCGCGGTGGAGTACTTGAAGGGCGTCATACGCTCCGACCGCACCGTCGACTCCTCCAGCTGCAGGTTCAGCGAGGCGTCCGTGTTCAGCTCCCTGCGGAGTGCACACGTTACGTTGCCGCCCGACAACTGCACGCTACCACAACCATGCGCTGCGCCGCCGAGTGACCAATACTTACATAATATTAAATATACATATATATATATATTGCATACTTAATGGAAAAAATAAAAAACTAGTCGCTTTACAGATCTATACTAGAAATACTTCAGTTCAAGCTTTAAATAATACAGCTCTACAAACGTTACAGTTGCAATTAAATGAAGTGAAGCAAAAGTGAACACGGGGAGAGATATGAACACGGCGACAGAAAATGAATACATCAATGGATACAAGTGTAGACGAGACGGACTTGTTAGTTAGAAGCAGATGAAAAAGCATTAGCGAGTCAAAAGGCAATCATATACTTGGAAGTTCTAAACGCAAACGAAATGCAGCTGCAATATGATTGCGGTGTCGTGCGGTGTCGTGCGGTGTCGTGCGGTGTGGGGGGCTGGGGGTACCTGTCGGACAAGTCGGTGCGCAGCGAGGGCGCGTCCCGCAGCGAGCCGCCCTCCGCCCGGCACCCGTAGTACCTACATAGCCACCACGCACTCCTCACTACTCGCCCCGCCCGCACCCCGCCCCACACCAGTACAACCCAAGCCGGGGCGCACTACACCAAGCATTGCGTCAAATGTCATCATTGAGTGAGAGTTACAGTCACATCGCTAGTGGTAGTTGTCTCCCCTCCCCTTTACTGTCCTTCAATATTATAAGTCGAAGAGGCGGGGTGCGGCCAGTTCGGTGCTGTGATTTTAGATAATCTATAATGGAGGGAACAGTCAGCGGCCGATGGTACCGACTCGACATACCTTTATTTTCTTGTGTGTTATTATTGTATTATTAACATGATATGATATAAGCATAAAATCGTATGATGTGAGTTGAATGCCAGGAGTTAAGTGATAGAACTTTGTTCATATTATGATAATGAATAATTGTATGGAGAGAGAGAGAGAGAGAGAGAGAGAGAGAGAGAGAGAGGATGAAGGTGTATGCGGTGAGTGCTCATGTCATCACTAGTAATTCCTGCTTATTATCACTTTCTAAACGTTACAATTCAATATTATATGTACAAGCTGTTTGCCTAT